CACACACACACACACACACACACACACACACACACACACACACACACACACACACACACACACACACACACACACACACACACACACACACACACACACACACACACACACACACACACACACACACACACACACACACACACACACACACACACACACACACACACACACACACACACACACACACACACACACACACACACACACACACACACACACACACACACACACACACACACACACACACACACACACACACACACACACACACACACACACACACACACACACACACACACACACACACACACACACACACACACACACACACACACACACACACACACACACACACACACACACACACACACACACACACACACACACACACACACACACACACACACACACACACACACACACACACACACACACACACACACACACACACACACACACACACACACACACACACACACACACACACACACACACACACACACACACACACACACACACACACACACACACACACACACACACACACACACACACACACACACACACACACACACACACACACACACACACACACACACACACACACACACACACACACACACACACACACACACACACACACACACACACACACACACACACACACACACACACACACACACACACACACACACACACACACACACACACACACACACACACACACACACACACACACACACACACACACACACACACACACACACACACACACACACACACACACACACACACACACACACACACACACACACACACACACACACACACACACACACACACACACACACACACACACACACACACACACACACACACACACACACACACACACACACACACACACACACACACACACACACACACACACACACACACACACACACACACACACACACACACACACACACACACACACACACACACACACACACACACACACACACACACACACACACACACACACACACACACACACAGACACGCTCACGCACACGCAGGGTGGCTCCTGGGAGACGGGACCTCTCGGCTTTGTCCTCCGAAGGAAAACCGGGGCGGGCAGGGGAGGCAGCACGGCCGCTTCCCCGCCGGGGCGGGCGCAGGAGCACCGCATGCACGGGCACTGCAAGTCCAGTGTAAGTGGGGAGTAACACCGCTTGACTCGGTACAAACTTGGCACACGCAGGACGCTGCGTGTGCTATTACTATCACTGCGATCGGGGTGATTCCTATCCTCGCCGTCTCTCTCGGCCGTGGACCCTTCCTGCCCACAAGCCACCTCATGGCGGGGGCTCTGCAGAAACGATCTGAAATAGGTGGGACCACTCAAAGGAGGAAAACCCCCTCGCTGTTCTCCCGCCGAGCGAGGCATTCCCCCTTCAGCTTCCCCAGGGCAGCTGCTGCCCCCTTTCCACAGACGTTACCTGCTATGTCAGTGAACTTCCCAGTGGTACCCTTTCCCCTCAGAATTAGTCCAGCAAAACCTCCCTCTGCAGCAAGCATCTGTGGAAACATGCTGCTGCACTCTCCCCCCCCTCCCCCGAGTAGCTATTTATAGCCCTGCAGGGCTTTCTCCGGCTCCCGTGGCCTGATGGGCCGCACTGTCAGGGGGAGGAGGATGGGGAGATGCGCGTATCGGAAACGCTGGGGCTGGGGGTCGGGGTTTGCTGGCTTAAGGCTCTGTTACGTGGTGCCTCTGAACCACTGGGCAAGAGAAATTGAAAAATTTTTGTGTCCTCCCTCGCAATGCGTTATTTCAGCCCTCAGGGGAAGCACGGCGGTTCTGGGGTCTAGATTGGTGTTAAAAAACAATTTAATCCATAATTGAAGTATACTTAGTACATTACTTCTGCTGAATCCTGGTGTTATTCTCAATGGCTGTGTAAGGCTGTGTTGTGGTGCTGGAAAGCACGCTGTTGGTATGGGCATAAACACTTCCATAAGCAGAATTGTACACCTTTGTGCCTAGAACTGTGAATTCCTTCTCATTCCTTACATGCTCACACAGACACACACGCCCCAGCGTGAAATACATGCACGTAATGGAGATACACAGAGACAATCAAAAGAGTGGGGTTACTGAGACAAACAGGATTATTCATGGCTTCACACTGCTGAGCTGGTGGACAAAATAAATTGTATATTTTGAAGGGGGAGAGATAAGCTGAGCTTTATGATTTACCCAGATAATCTGATGGTCTATTTTTAAATGCGTGATTTAGAGTTTCCATGAGAGGGAGATCTGATGAAATGCAGGAGCACTGAGAGGAGCCTTCCTTAAAAGCATCCAAATGGATGGTAAAAAACACAAGGATATTTCTCTCCAAGTAGGGCTGAAGATAGCCCTATTTTTACTGGAGTACCAGTTTGTCCTTATGGGAGTCCAGACTATCCTGGATGCCCTGACACGGAGGTAGATTTTCCTTGATGCCAAGTTGCAGCTCAGTGTGGCACCTGCTGTTCTAGGCAAACAACATAAAGAAGCTGACAATAACATCTGCTCACTAAATTATCTAACCAAGGTCTTGAATGTGAAACATTTTGAAGAGGGGAAATCTGCTAAATCTCTTTCTTCACACTAGTTTAACTCAGTTAATCAATTGGTGAGAAGCTGTCTTAAAAATACATAGAAATAGTTGACTAGTGGCTGATGTAACACATGTGTTTCTTCTTCACCATGCTCTCCCCCACCAAAGTAATTTCAGTAATTTGTATGCAGTCCCCAGAGCAGTATGCTTTGCTGATAACATGAGGGAGAAATCAGCTCTGAGTCAAGCAAAATAACCGGTTTGTGAACTTGTGTCACACAGAAATGCACATTGATTTATTGCATATTGGCAAACAAATGTCTTCTGCTTTGAAGACTATCTCTGCATATGGAAGGGACTCTTCCCTTACACAGAAGCTGGTTTTTCTTTTCCAAAGAACAATTTCACAATGCTTGAAAATTTAATATCATGTAAAGGCCGCATCATCTGAATTTTATTTGCTTGGCCTGAAAGTAGCCTGAGAGTAGATCAGCCTTTTCTGTAAAGGCTAGAATGGATTCTGGCTCACAGTCTGGATCTGCTTCCCAGTCACTGGATTGTATCTTGACCATCCAAGTACTTGTAGACACAGTGTGCAGTTGGCCTGTCAGGGAGCAGGACTGCTCTATCTGGAGCTGCAATAGTGTGAATGACTGTTCTTTCTCTCAACATCTTGTACCCTAGCCTCAAGGAAGCAGGTGAATCTAAATGTTAAATAGAAATCTTCTGTATCCACAAATGCATAAGCACCTGCACCAACCACTGAGGCCAGTGTTCTGTTAAAGAACGCTTTAATTTTGGGGTGATTCAAGCAGGGAACCAACTGTATTTTTCTTTAGCCTGAGCTTTATGAGAGTGCAGATCTAGTAACTTCCATTGAAGTTACACTGCCGAGTTGTCAGCAAGACCAAGCACTCCATGTTGTTTGACATTCAACTCATTAAAAAATGGGCATAGCCAAGTTAAGGGGTTCGTTCTGAAGTGGGCTTTTGGATGCACATCTTCTATTCCATGCTATCTGAGGAATCACCATTTGCAAATCTTTGAATGTCAAAAGCCTCACTGACTTCAGTAGTGCTGAATCAGACCCTGAGGTGGGACTCATGGTGTGCTTTTTCCATTCATATAAATGTACAAACCCTTCAGCATATTAAAATCAATAGATCAGCTCATTGTGAGAGAAGTTTGTAATGAAGTCTACACATTTAATTTGCAAGTGATAGTTTTCTGACAGCATGGTGTTGTCTCCAGGTGGTTGGTGGAGATCACAGGCTCATTTTTTCTAGCTCTCCCCACCATTAGATGTTATGTCATGTCAGAGTTGAGACACAGGTATGTGTTAAAGCAAGAGGAGAGGAGGAACGCCAGTGCAGGGAGACAAAGAGAGCTGGAGGAGTAATGTGGCAGAACCTGAGCTTCATGTTTCCACACAGTAGCTGTTTTTTTCAGTGAATAAAAGACTACAATCTGCTAATCTGCCTTATTTATTTCTTAAGAGAAATGTAGTAATCGATTATATATATATATATATATATATATAAAAATAAGTGGAATAATAAAAATATGCAAAGTATTTGTGGGCAACCTGACCACATTTGGAGTAAGTTCATGGCAAAAGGCATGCTGACTTCACAGCTGGTTTTGCATGTCTTATTTGACACTGTGACAAGGGTGTAAATAGTGTGTATAACCAATAGCACATTGGTCATGTTAGTCGGACTCATTCACTTCCTTTGGAGTCAAGGAACAAAACGCCCATGCCGTATGATGTGACAAAGGTATCCCCAGGCTTCTGAACCTACAAATGAAGTTTTGACAGCTTAGACACTGTCTTTTTTTTTTTCCCCATACATCCTCCACATATATGTTAGGTGCTTCAGAGCAGTTACAGAAATACAGAACCCTGCCCCAAGGAGCTTAGTCTAATTTTTTTTGTGATGCAGTGAGTGGGTGTTAGAGACATTAAGGCCAGATGGGGTGAGGAAGGCAAAGGCTGCTTGCAGAAATTACTCCATGTGGCATGTGCAGAGTTTCATGACTTACTGTTCAAAAACATTTTTGTCTCTCTAAATATTTCTGTACCCTTGATTTTTTTTAAAAAATATCTGCTTATTTCCAGAAAATTCAAAAGAAAGCCATACACCAACAAAGTGCCCTCACACATTTACAGAAGTCTTTGTGAAAGAGCAAATCTACTGTGAAAACCAAAATTCCAACATGTGACAAAACATAGAAGAAAGAAAGGTGGTATCATAAATTAGAGAAAAGTAATTTTTTTTTTCATCAGTGTGGTGAAATAAATGTAGTATTTTTCTGTCTGTATTTAAAACTGGTTTTATGCATGTATTGATTCATTTGTATGACTAGCACTTTTATGGGTTCAACAAGTATCAAAATTGTAGTGGGGAGTGGGTAGACTATGAAAAGGATAACATGGAGGAAACTGGTAACAGTTATTTAAAATTATTTATTTAAGAGTTATGGTTTTATTTTGTCTTAACTCTGTGGGTTAGTGTGAAGTAGGCTTGAATATCACAAGAAATTATCATGCCAAAGTTGATCTTATTTCTGCTAATGTTTAAAATGTAATTAATGAACACATCACTGACAGAACTGTTAATCTTTACACCTTTGTCACTCACACAAAAGGTAGAGTCTAGCAGCCTAATAAAAAAGGTTGCAGATCAAAGACAGCTCATCTCCATTGTCTTTATTACTCAATGCAAAGCTTAGGTTTTCCTCTTCATGTGTACTGCTGAGGGACTGTACTAGCTCATTCTTTTTGGTGATTTTCAAATATTAGTATCAGGAATATCTCTAGTATTGCAAACATATCTATGCACTAATAATCTGTTTGAATTTGCTGTTTTTCTTCTCTTTCCAAAGACTGGGACCACTGTTCTTATAGATTCTCAATATCTGTATGTAACTCTAATTAGTCTGTATTAAAAGATTGGTGATTTTTTTTTTTTTTTCCCAGTCAAAGTGGAATCTTACTATTAATTATTGGCATGGGGATTGCCAGGTGTTGACCACATTCCTTTAATCTACGGGCTGAAGTATAGGATCCTCTATGGAATGTAGAGCTCAGTGTCTTTTTCCACATAGAGATTAATATGCTCTTGGCTTCTGGAGTCTGCAAACTGCTGACACTGCTACTCTTCATGGGTTTCCAAGCAGTAACAGCATGCTGATGGTTCTGCACGCTTGAGAAACAAGAAGCCTTCAGGATGCAAGAATCATACAGACTTGGAGAAATAGTAAATAAAAAATAACTTATCTGTTAAGTTGATTTGTTTTTCTCCTATTTAACAGCCTGGAAAGAATGCAGCTTCCCTCCAGTGAATGTCACCATATTAAAAATTTTATAAGAATTTGATTTTTTTGGTAGCAGTTCTTTGCAATGATTTGTCATAGCACCTTTGTATGGATACTGGTGGCTAGTGTATTACTGTTTGTACTGCAATAACACTGTTGGGTCCCCATGACGGGCCAGATGCCTGTTAACTAGCCCAGTGAATAAATACATGACAAAAGGACAGACTTTCTCCTTGGCTCCACCTCTTCTTCTCCCATTCTGTACTTTTCATTTGGAAGAAACTTCCCATGGAAATGTAAATTGAATTTGCTAATGTAAACTCTGACTTGTTAAACATCTCTTAACTTATCTTAGTCATTTTATGCTCAAAATCCTGTTCCTGGACAAAGAGGAAATGCATCTTGTATAAATCTAGGATTATTTTTTTTTTTTAGTGTAATTGAAATCTTAACTAGCTAGTCAAATGATCATTAATAGGCTAGATCCTATTATTACCAAAGAAAAACAGGGCAGAAAATGTTTTAATAATAATAATAATAATAATAATAATAATAATAATAATAATAATAATAAAGCAGCTAACATTGTAATACGCTCACTTAGTTTCTACCTTCTTTCCTTGATGTTATACTCACCTTTCCCCTGCTTCTCCAAGTTTTAAGATTGGTGGCTTCATT